CTCTTTGAGGCCAACCTGGAAGTGGCAGGGGAATTAAAAGCCGGTAGTGGAGGAGTTGGGGGCTTTGGGAAGAGGAAAATTGGCCACCGAAGAGCAAATAAAGGCAGGAGCGAAGCTGCCGCGCTTGTGTTCAGAGACTTGAATCCATGTGCGTGAGGAGAGGGATGAACCAAGGGGACCAAACAAAATACTTGGGACACCAAGGAAATTTGGGATGGGAGAGGTGTAAGTCATCATTTCCAAGTGATGTGCTGTTGTGTGTGGGATGTCTGCAGGGACTGGAGTTGCTGTGGGGAAACTGAGGCACGGAGAGTTCCAGACAGTGTCACAGCTTGCTTCTTTCTCCCCCTGGATAGATGTTGGTGATGTGTCTGGTTCTGATCTGAATTTCAAAGATTTAAGGGAATTGTCATCCCCACTGTCCCCAAGGCAGCTGAGTCCCCCACGCTTGGACCGCGGCAGGGGGGAGAAGAGGGGGCCTGGGGAATGGCATCGCTCTGCAGCTGCCGCCGAGTGAGCTGAATTCAAAGGATAAAATTAATTTCTTTCCCCCCCCAGGGGAACGTCTCACATGCTGAGAGATACATGAAGAAACGAGGCCCTGCAAGGCGGCAAAGAAATGGCCAAAACGTGGGTGGAGGTGGGCAGCAGCTCCTGTTTGTGTGCAGGAACTCGCTTCTTGCCAGGTTGGTCCTGATCTGGTGGGATTTGCTGGAGAAATGAGCCCAGGAGATGTTAAAACAGCTCCTTGTATGAGATGTGGGTGCGATAGGTCACACTGCATAGAGTCATAGACTGGTTTGGGTTGGAAGGGACCTTAAAGATCATTCAGTTCCAACCCCCCTGCCATCAGCAGGGACACCTTCCACTAGACCAGGTAGCTCAAAGCCTCATCCAACCTGGCCTTCAACACTTCCAGGGAGGGGGCATCCACAACTTCATGGCTCGGAGGGGTGGGGTCTTGCCATGGATCTTTAATGGGTGTGGGTGCTCATGAGCTCACACTCGGTGTCTGCAGGTTCCCAGACCTCATCCCCTGTAGCAGCTGATCTTCACCAGCCATTGCACGAGCTCAGGCACTGCCTTTTGCGATGGGGAGGAGCATCTGAACCTCCTTGGGGCACGTTCTTCACCATCACTGGCATCTGCAAGCACTGAGATGTCGACCCTGCCAGTGGTGAGATGCTGTTTGTCACCTGATGGCTTCACACAGGGACCGTGGTGATGCTGAAGGGGATGGGGATGGTTGGATATCTGCCATTAGATGTGCCATGGATGCTTGTTAGGTGGAAGACCGTGTGCTAAATAGTGCAATATTTATATATATGTGTATGGAAAGAGGATGGAAAAGAAGCCGAGGTGGTAAAATCCCTGTGTACCTCCCTGCAGTGAACGGGGAAAGGCCACCAGTGGTTTCTAGGGAGATGTTTGTGAAGCTGTCATCTTGTGTGGGGGCAGCGTGGGGAAATGCAGCCATAAAGAGGCTGGGGGAATGAGGAGATTTCAGTTAAGAGCTGATGTGTCCTGCTCAGTTGCACCTCAAACATGGACCAAGGGTCAAAACAACAGCCGCCAAAACCCACCTGGTCGCTCCCCTCCATCCTATTTGACACAGGGACACAAAGTTCATCGTTGTGGGGCTTGGCCAAAATCTCAGGGCAGACGTGTTCCTCGTGCCTGCAAACACAGAGGGTCCCAAAACCGAGGCTGGAGTTGGGATAACTGGGATGTTCATCAAGGCTTGGGTACGTGTTTTGGGGGTCAGCTAATTGACCAAGGGTCTGGCCACCCACGTGTGGCTGTGGCCCCCAGGTTTCTTCATCTCTCACTGTCGTGGTTTTTAATCTGCAGGTCGATCTACAAAGATCCTTGGGTTCCTGAGCTGGGACGTATGAATTATGGAGGCACTGGGTGGCCCTGTGAACCTGACCACGACAATAATTGTAGCTGCTAATGAGGTGAGGGAGGCAGGTGAAGCATCGAGCAAAGCACCATCGCTCCCACCAGCATTCCCAGCCCCGTTGAGCTGGAGCATCCCTGTTTTTCACCCCCCACCTTAATATCCCAGAGGGTTTAGGGGCTTGGATGTGCCATGTCCTTGAGAGACGCAGGGCTGGGCTGCCAGACCCTGGCTGCGTGCCAGGATAAACGCGGTTCTCCAGGTTATCGGTGGGTTTTTATGGACCTCAGGGTGGAAAAACATGGAGTGCAGCAGGAGGCGAGCACGTTTTTGACAGGCAATGTGCTCTGGGTGCTGTTCCCTCCATAAAAAGCAGGACGAGGGGACCAGAGCCTGATTGCTGAGCTTGAGAGACTGAAAATGATGTCGGGAAGGAGGGTCCCGGCGGCAAAACCGCAGGTCCAATGTGTAAACGTATATTTATCTATACCTTGAGGTAAGAGATAGAGAAGAGGAGACTTGAGAAGAGGAGACTGAGGGGACACCTAATTAATGTTTACAAATATGTTAAGGGCAAATGTCATGAGGATGGAGCCAGGCTCTTCTCAGTGATGCCCAACGATAGGACAAGGAGCAATGGG